AGATATTCGTCCAGGCACGGTGGCTCACACCTATAATCCTAGAACTTTGGGAGATCCAGGTGAGCAGATCACTTGAGGTCAGGAGTTTGAGAACAGCCTGGCCAACATGGCAAAACCCTGTCTCTACTAAAAATACAAAATTTAGCCAGCATGGCAGTGTGCACCTGTAATCCCAGCTACTCGAGAGGCTGAGGCACAAGAATCACTGGAACCTGGAAGGCAGAAGTTGCAGTGAGCTGAGATCATGCTACTGCACTCTAGCCTGGACAACCAAGTGAGACCCCTTATCCAAAACAAAACAGAAAACAAGAAAAGATATTCAACATCACTAGATACTGAAGAGATGCAAATTAAGACCATGATGGGACATCACTACACACCTCTCAAGAAGTCCAAAATTAAAAATAGTGACAACACTAAATGCTGGCAAGGATGCAGAAAATTGGACCATTCATACATTGTTGGTGAGAATATAAAACAATATAGCCACTCTGGCAGTTTCTGATGAAACTAAAGATGCAATCACCATATGACTCATCAATTGCACTCTTGAGCATTTATCCCAGAAAAACGAAAAGCTATGTTTAGGCAAAAACCTATGTATGAATGATCACAGAAGCTTTATTATAATAACGAAAAAGTGGAAGCAGCTCAGATGTCATTCAACAGGCAAATGCTATTTACAAGCTGGCATTTCCGCACCATGGAATACTACTCAGCAAAAAAAAGTAATAAACTACTGATATATACAACTTGGATGAAGGAAACTATGCTGAATGAAAGAAACCAATCCCAGTGCCGAGATAATTCAATAAGGAAAGAATAGGCTTTTCAACAAATGGTAATGAAGATCTACATACAAAAGAATTAAGTTGGCCAGGTGCAGTGGTTCATGTCTATAATTCCAACACTTTGGGAGGCTGGGGTGGGTGGATCACCTAAGGTGAGGAGTTCAAGATCAGACTGGCCAATGTGGTGAAACCCTGTCTCTACCAAAAATACAAAAACTAGCTGGGCATGGTGGCGTGTGCCTGTAATCCCATCTACTCAGGAGGCTGAGGCAGGAGAATCGCTTCAATGCAGGAGAATCGCTTCAACCCAGGAGAATCGCTTCAACCCAGGAGATGGAGGTTGCAGTGAGCTAAGATCACACCATTGCACTCCAGCCTGGGGGACAAGAGTGAAACTCTGTCTCAAAAAAAAAAAAAAAAATGAAGCTGGATCCCTACCTCACACCACATTTGAAAAATTAACTCAAAATGGATCAAAGAACTGAATGTAACAGCTAAAACTATAACGCTCTTAGAAAAAAATACAGGAGTAAATCTTTATGACTGTAAATAGCCAATGGTTTCTTAGGTATAACATCAAAACCACAAACAACAAAAGAAAAAAATAGATAAATTGAAAACTTTTGTGCTTTAAAAAAAATCTACCAAGAAAAAGAAAATATAATCCACAGAATGGGAGAAAGTATTTGCAAACATAAGCATCTGATAAGTATCTAGTGTTCAGAATATATAAATAACTTTTTTTTTTTGAGACAGAGTCTCACTCTGTCACCCAGGCTGGAGTGCAGTGGCCCCATCTCAGCTCACTGCAACCTCCACCTCCCAGATTCAAGCAATTCTCGTGCCTCAGCCTCCCAAGTAGCTGGGACAACAGGCACCTGCCACCAACCTGGCTAATCTGTGTATTTTTAGTAGAGACTGGGTGTCACCATGTTGGCTAGGCTGGTCTCCAAGTTTTGGCCTCAAGTGATCTGCCCTCCTCAGCCTTCCAAAGTGCTGGGATTACAGGTGTGAGTCACTGCTGCACCTGGCCTACTCAGAATATATAAACAACTCTTACAATTCAGTGATAAGACAGAGGCCGGGCGCGGTGGCTCAAGCCTGTAATCCCAGCAATTTGGGAGGCCGAGGCGGGTGGATCACGAGGTCAAGAGATCGAGACCATCCTGGTCAACATGGTGAAACCCCGTCTCTACTAAAAATACAAAAAATTAGCTGGGCATGGTGGTGCGTGCCTGTAATCCCAGCGACTCAGGAGGCTGAGGCAGGAGAATTGCCTGAACCTGGGAGGTGGAGGTTGCGGTGAGCCGAGATCGTGCCATTGCACTCCAGCCTGGGTAACATGAGTGAAACTCCGTCTCAAAAAAAAAAAAAAGACAGATAACCCAACTTAAAAATTGGTTATTTTTAACAATCTGAATAGACATTTATACAAAGAAGATACAGAAATGGTCAATAAGCACATGAAAAAATGTTCAATATCATTAGCCATCAGGGTAATGCAAATCAAAATCACGAGATACCATTTGACATACACTAGAGTGCTTATAATATGAAGACAGATAATAACAAGTGGTGGCAAGGATGTAGAGACCCTCATAGAACAGCAGTGGGAATGTAAAGTGGTACAACTGCTTTGAAAAACAGTCCAGCAGTTCCTCAATATATAAACAAAGAGATACCTTATGATATATATGGTACATACTCAAGAAAAATAAAAACATATATCAATATAAAAACCTGTACACAAATATGTCAATACTGTTCATAATAGCCAAAAAGTATAAGCAACCCCAATTTCTATCAACTGATAAATGTTAAAATGTGATATATTTCTATAATGGAATATTATTCAGCAATAAAAAAATTATGGAGTACTGCTACATGCTACAACAAGGATAAATCTTGAAAACATTCTGCTAAATGCAAGAAGGATTGGATGCTGTGGCTCACGCCTGTAATCCCAGCACTTTGGGAGGCCAAGGTGGGAAGATCATCTGAGGTCAGAAATTCGACATCAGCCTGGCCAACATGGCAAAATCCCATCTGTACCAAAAATACAAAAATTAGCCAGGCATGGTGGTGGACACCTGTAATCCCAGCTATTCGGGAGGCTGAGGCAAGAGAATCACTTAAACCCAGGAGGCAGAGGTTGCAGTGAGCCAAGATGGCGCCATTGTACTCCAGCCTGGGTGACAGAGACTCCATCTCAAAAAAGTAAAAATAAGAAAAAGAAATGAATGGAAGAAGCCAGTCATAAAAGACTATATATTGTATGATTCAATTTTTGTGAAATATCCACAGAGGGGCAAATCTATAGGGACAGAAAGGAAATTCGAGGTTGCCTGGGGCTGGAGGTGTACAGGTAAAATGGGGACGGCTGCTAAATAATAGAAAATTTCCTTCTAAGGTGATGAAAATGTTACCAAATTGATTGTGTTAATGGTTGCATAACTCTGTGAATACAGTGGTCCCCCCGTATCCCCAGGGGACATGTTCTAAGATCCTAGTGGATGCCTTAAACCACAGATAGTACCAAATCCTAGATAAACTATGTTTTTCCTATACATACATACCCATGATAAAGTTTAATTTACACATTAGGCACAGTAAGAGATTAACAACGATAATAATAAAATAGAACAATTACAACAACACACTATAATAAAAGTTTTATGAATGTGTTCTCTCTCTCTCTCAAGATATCTTATTGTGCAGTACTCATCTTTTCAAGCCTCAAGTTAACCACAGGTAACAAAAACCACAGGAGAAACCACAGATACAGGGGGACTACTGTATACTAAAAACCACTGAATTGTACATTTTAATGACTGAATTGTATGAGATGTGGATTATATTGCAATAAAGCTGTTACCCAAAAAAAGCCAACTCCAGAGGTTATATACTCTGATTTCATTCATATAATATTTTTGAAAAAACAAAATTTTAGAAATGAAGGACAGATTAGTGACTACCGAGAGCTGCGGAGTAGACGAAGAAAGGGAAGTGACTATGGTTTAAAAGAGTCCTTAAGGGGATTGAACTATTCAGTATTTCAACTGTAGTGGTGAATACACTTATACATGTGACAAACTGCAGAACTATATACACACATACACACACACACAAACAAGTACAAACAAAACCGGAAAAGTCTGAATAAGATCTGTGGATTGTATCAATGTGAATATCTCGATTGTGATATTATACTATAGTTTTGCAACATGTTACCACTGCAGAAAATAGGGTAAAGTGTACAGAGAATCTTTCTATATTTTTCTTACAACTGCATATGAATCCACAGTTATCTTAAGTCCATTAAAAAAACACACTAGGCCAGGCATGGTGGCTCACTCTTGTAATCCTAGCACTTTGGGAGGCTGAGGTGGGTGGATCACCTAAGGTCAAGAGTTTGAGAGCAGCCTGGCCAACATGGTGAAACCCTCTCCACTAAAAATACAAAAATTAGCTGGGTATAGTGGTGTGTGCCTGTAATCCCAGCTACTCAGGAGGCTGAGACAGGATAATCACTTGAACCCAGGTGGTGTAGGTTCCTGTGAGCCAAGATCGCACCTCTGCCTGGGTAACAGAGCAAAACTCTGTCTCAAAGAAAAACAAAAAAAACACTGAAGTCAAAAGAAGAAAAACCTGTTCTGTTCTCAATTTCTCCTCTAATTAAACCAAAAAAAAGACCCTCGTCTGGCACAGGTGTACCATCCTCCAACAGCTGCTTTACCCTCTTTAACAAGGAAGAGCAGACCCCAGGCTCAATGCCCAGACAAGAGAAACCAGCTAGAATTTATAACACACTTGAATGTGATGGTGTTTAGTCGATTATTTTATCTAGACGTAGAATTAAGAACACAAATTCTGGAGCCAGCCAGTCAAGAATTCCAGTCCCATCTATGCCACTTACTAGCTGTGTCACCTAACATCTCTGTACCTCAGTCACCACATCTGTAAAATGGGTACAACAAGAGCACCTACATCGTGGTGGTGTTGTAAGCTTTAAATCTATAAATTATGGGCTGTGTGTATACGTTTAAGTGCCTGACACAAAGTAAAGTATTAGCTATAATTACCTTTACTATCACAAGGATCGAGGAAAAATTGCAATGTTTTAGAAAGGTTTACAAGCACAAATCCAGGCCACGCTACCTCTCAAATGTGGCCCTTCATAGCCCTGGGCCCATATCCAGGTTCTCACACTAGGGACTGGGGCCAGGGGTAGCAGCTGCACCCACCTGCGCATTTGGTACGGCTGATGAGAGGTGGCCCGGGGCGACCAGTGCCGCCATCTCCCGGACGCGTGAGTAGTACGCTGATCTCATACTCTGTGTCTGGGTCAAGGTGCCACAGCTTGTAAGTCTGCAGGCTGACTGCGTGCACCTCGGCCCATGGCCCACGCGACATGCGGTACTCGATCTCCTTGCGCACGATCGGCCCATCGCCAATGATGGAGTTGGTGTTGAGCTGGATAATAAGGTAGGTGGGGCCAGCACGCAGCAGCTGTGGGGGCGCGATGGGAGTGGGGGGCTCTACGAGGAGATGGGGGAGAGGCGGGGCGGACCGATGGTTCTGTGAGACCCCAGGACCCAACTCTGCGTCCCACCATACCCAAATCCCTCCCCATCCTCCCAGACTGGCTGGTCACACAGCCAGATCCCCACCCCTCTCCAGGCTCTCACCTTGACCCTGTCCATCCCCCTCGACGCCAGCCCTGACCCCTGGATCAGACCTCATCCCGGCTGGGCCATTGCCCCCTCCGCAGGCCCACCTTCAGATCGCGCCCCCGTGACACACTGCAGGCCCCACGGCCACGCCCCTGGGCAGACCCCGCCCCCGCCGCCGGCCCCGCCCCTCGAGGGTAGAGGTCCTGGCGCTCCACCGCGTCGGCTCGCTGACCCTTGACAATGAGCTCCGCGAAGTTGGAGACGCCGGCGCCGCGCGGCGCCTGGGACACGCAGCGGTACAGGTCCTGCTCGGCGCGGCTCACGGCAACCAGCGGGAAAGTGGCCAGGAAGCGCCGGTGGCTGATGTGCCGCACGCCCGCCGCCGGCACCAGCGCCCCGCTCTGCCGCTGCCGGGAAGAGAGTGAGAGGGTCAGGGGCGCCTCGGAGCGAGGGTCCCGATCTCGCTCTGACCCGGGCCCCATTTAGCCGTCCCTACTACACAGCGCAGACATAGGTTCCTGGAGCCGTGCTCTGACCTGGGGGAATGGAGGACCCAAGAGAGTGCAGAGCGGAGCTAGGGGAGGGCCCGGACGCTGTGCGTGGTGCTGGACTACGAAGCAGGGACTCAGCATCCTGCGGGGAGTCAGGGCCATAAACAGCCATCACCACCCCCACAGCCAAGGTCCCCGCTCCCGCTCACCTGCAGGAGGAAGCGTTCGGCCTCGGCCGCTCTGCCCGCCGCCATGCACTGGAACGACGCGTTCTGGCCCGCGTTTACCTCCACGTCGCCCAGGCGGGAGAAGTGCGGGGCCTTTGCTGCGGGGTTAGAGCCGCGGCGTGAGCTGACCCTGCGCCCCCTGCAGGCAGGAGCTGCGGCCGCCCGCACCCCTCACCCCTGCGCCCCCAGTGGGTTGGGACTCACCGCAGGGGTAGCTGAGAAGCAGGATGTCATCTAGGCCCATGTAGCCCCTGCGGTCTGGGGAGATGAGGGCCTCAAACAGCACCTGGGGGAAGCGAGAGGGCCCCTGTCACACTGATATCCCTCCAGCCCTGCCTGGGGAGGTGCCCACTTTCAGCTTGGCCCCAGCCTCCTCTTCCTAAATCAGCAGAGGTCAGCCCTGCTCACACTGACCCTCCCTACCAAGCCAGCTAGTTGGGGGTGGGATGTCAATGCCCATAGTGAACAAGGTGGAGGCCAGTTTCCATCCCAGTCCTGGACAGCTACCCTCAAGCAGCCAGACAGGGTTTCCAGGTCAGAACTGTTCCAACTTACCCTTGACGGGGGCTAGGGACTGTTCCTATGAACAATGACCTCAGATGCCGAACCAGACTGGCCCCACACTGACCCCTGGCCTTGACCACAGGTTGCCTCTGATGCTGAATGCAGACTCATTCTAACTTCACCCACCCACCTACTTCAACCTCAAGCTGACATCCATCTGCCCCATCCCCAGGCACAGCTGACCGCAGCCTGAACCCAGCCCACCTGATATTCATTGGGCCAGAAAGTGCTGACCGCCAGTTCAGCCTGGTGCCACTGACGGCCGTGGGATCCAGTCATATTCCAGACGGCACTGCCCAGGGGGCCCCCATTAACGCGCACATAGACACCCAGGGTGCCCGGGCTGTGCCCGTCCCGGCTATACAGGAAGTAGCTGAATTGCACACAGTGGGTGTCATTCTCACTCAGGCTCTGGAAGATGATATGGGCTCGCTGGCCTGGGGCATGCTGAGAAGTGTTGACCATCAAGTAGGAGCCTGAAAAGAGAGGAGAAAGAGGCCGGAGCTGAGGAGACTGTAGAGGAGGGCCAGGGCCGGGGGGTCACTGAGGAGGACTCCAGGCATCAGGACCCACCAGGAGTCAGGGGTTCTGAGTTCTGGCCCCAGCTCTACCTCCCTAGGTGAGTCCCTTCACTTCCTAGCATCTGTTTCCTACAGGAGACCTGGAGCAGTAAAAACCACACAAACCTGACTTTGTCAAAACCATTTAAAGGCCAGGCACAGTGGCTTATGCCTGTAATTCCAGCACTTTGGGAGGCCAAGGCAGGTGGATCACCTGAGGTCAAGAGTTCAAGACCAGCCTGACCAATATGGTGAAATCCAGTCTCTACTAAAAAACAAAAATTAGCAGGGTGTGGTGGCATGCACCTGTAGTCCCAGCTATTCGGGAGGCTGAGACAGGAGAATTGCTTGAACCCGGGAGGCAGAGGTTGCAGTGGGCCGAGATTGCACCACTACACTCCAGCCTGGGAGACAGAGCAAGATTCTGTCTCAAAAAAAAAAAAAAAAAAAAGTTTATGGCTCCTTACAATCTATGGGTCACAAAGCCCATGCCCGGTCTAAGCACAGCTTTCCCCATGCTCTGAGTCATCCCTGGAGGCAGGACTAGGTCATTCATCTCTGGATTCAAGAGCCTGGCACATAACAGACCCTCAAAGGCCACCTCTTCCAAAGCCCTCCCTCCACATCCCACCATGGGCTTCTCTCCTGGCTCCTGGGTCATTACAAAAGTGCTATCCGTCTCCCACCACCCTGTAAGTTCTCAAGACCCAAGCTGAATGAATACGTAGAACAGAGATTGAATGAAAGGATTCCAATTTCCCTTCCAGCCCCAATCCCTGAGTCTAAATTCCTGGGATACAAATCCCCTTGACTTCCAATCTAGAGAAAGGCAGCCTGTCTCTTCCCCAGAGATCCAGGCTGGGTACTGGCAGAATCAAAGTGGACTAGGCTGGCTCAGGGCCTGGCTGGGGGGTTTGGGCTTCCCAAAGGGCACCCAAAACCACCCAGCCATGCCTCCTCCCAGGCTTGGCTGCCAGCCAACATAAGCTTATTCAGATCCCGGCTCCAGGAAGACTCCCCAGGGACTCTGCTGGACGGGATCTCATTCATCTCTGTAAGCTGGAAGCCTATGGAGGCAGCTCCTTGATCAGTCCCCGCTGGGCAGCAGTAAGCTAAACTCAAGTCCCCATCCCCATCCAGGAAGGGGCACTTCCCAACCCCCAATACACTCCCTCTTGGCCCACTCATGCTGCTTCTCTCTCCTCTCCCTGCAAGCAGCTGTGCGCATCTTTCTCCCCCTTCCAATCTGACACTTTGTTCCTTCTTCCTCCTCCTGCTCCCTCTACCTCTCCCTTCACTCACTTCATCCCTCCCCTTCTCTTTCATTTACTCCCTTTGTCCCTATCGCTCTGCCTTCTCTTCTCTCCTGCTCCCCATCTCTGAGTGTGAATCTCCCTCCTTTCTTCTCCCTCCACCCCCAGGTCACTTCCCTAGAACATGAGAACCAGGAAGACAAAGACTGTGTCCATCTGGCTCACCACCACATCCTTGAGACCTAGCCCCAGGCTCACACTAATTGCTAAATTCCCCTCTCCCCTTTATCACTGGGTATGTCTCTGCTTACACATGACAAGAGAGGCAGAGAGCACTCAGGGTGGTCAGCACTGTAAGAGGTGATAAAAGGAATTCCAATCAGCTGTCCTGTACCTGTGTGCCACGTATCAGACTAAGGCTGGGCCCTGGGAATACGGAGAGGCCCACAAGAGGTTCCTACCATGGTGGGTACCTTTACAGATCATTTTCAGACCAGTCAAACTGTGATACCCACCAATACCTGCAGAGGCAGATGTAAGTGCCCCAGAAAGGGAACAGTGTGAGTGAATGCACAGAAGGGGGGGTAGGGCAAGTGGTGGGAGTCTGCGAGGGCACCTGTGCCAAGCCATGAAGGGCATCTCTCCTAGTGGCTTCAAGTCCTGGCCCCGCCACTGAGAATCTTTCCTGTCCCTCCCTGACAACAGATGCAATCTCAGCCATGCTGTGAGCTGGGCAGTAAAGACCCTGGGCACTAGCATGATGGGGCAAGGGGGGGGGCTTCAGGCTGTGGAATCTAGGGATTCACTCAGAAAGCCCACTTGATTCCCATACCATCAGTGTCCTCTGACACAGCCCTCATCAGTAATAAAGTTAACAATTTGGCCTTTATTTGTCTCACTCTTTTTAAATTCACAGTTGATTCTGTATCCAGTAAAGAGGGGTACTAATGATCGGGCCCCCTCAAAGACGCTCAAAAATAGCAACCAAATAACTGAGCCCCTGCATGCCCCCCTGTGCTCTGTACTTGACACGCAGCATCTCGTGACCCTCTGAAATGGAGTCTTGTTTGCCTCATTTTACAGTGAAGACAATGGAGGTTCAGAGACATTAGGTGACTTGCCCAAGGTCGCACTGCTGGTAAAGTGATGGAGACAGGGTTTGGGCCCAGGTCTTCATGACTCTGAACAGAGGGACACGATGAAAGCAGGAAGTCAGTACTAGAATCCATATTGTTAGTCTCCTGCCTCCCAGGCCAGAGCTCAGGATGACAAAGGTGCCCCATCTTGAAATAGGAACAGAGCAAGGTAGAAGTCGAGAAGGATCTGGGACTTCCAGGAGGAACAGGGCAGAGGAAGAAAGGTTTTACACACATCTAGTCCCAACGTTACTGCTCTTTCAGTATCTTCTAGTCCTAGGGAGACTAGGATTCGAGGGCTCTTTGGGAGAAAAGAGTCTCTGAAGAGAGCCTCCCAAAGATGGAGGATTTAGAAGAACTGAGAGTGGGGGTGGGCTGGATCCTGAGCTAGGCAGCAAGGGGAATAATTGGAAGTGAGTTTTAACGCACAGCCATGAGGGCCTTTCATGGCTTGAACCTGCACTCATTTTACACACAAATCTACCTACATACACAATTAGACAGTGTCCAGAGAAAGCCATGTTCGGTGTCATGTACGTACGTCATTACAGATGCAAATGCAGGTGGGGCCCAGAGAGGTTAAGTAACGTGCCCAAGGTCACACAGCACGTGGGAAGAAGTGCCTCTGGAAGGAGAGGAAGGGGTCATGGTGATGGAGAGTGGACTTACCGTGGGGCAGGTCTGCAGGGGCCCGGGTGCCAGGGTGGATTCGCACTCGTTCCCACTGAAAGTCATCGTACTGGGCCTGGCTGTACTCGCAGGGCACTGCTGGGTCACTTGTCTCCTCAAAGGTGCAGCCAGCTGTGAGAGCAGGGTGTGGTTAGTCCAGGCTAAGGCAGGGCTGCTGGCCAGGAGGACTCCTGGAGGGTAGCCCCCAGTCTCCCTCCTTCTACCCAGGCCCACCTGCCCTCCTCCCTCCCTTCAGGCCCTCCCCCACACTGCTCCCTCCCTCTGGCAAAATTCTTCCTCCTCCACCATCTCCCTCTACCAAGTTCCCCCTCACTGTCCCCTCCCAATACCAAGATGTCCCTACACTGCCTGCTCCCCCAGTACTTCCCAGTACTCCCCCCACCACTGGCTCAACCATCCATCAGAGAACCTCCTCAATAAAAACTAGTTATCAGGATTGCTGTATCATTGGAACTTCACTGCAACCCATAAGATCAGGACTAGAATTATCTCCATTTTGTGCATAAAGAAACTGAAGCCTCAAAAGGCTGAGTGAGTTCATTAGGGTCACACAGCTCACTGGTGATGGAGGTGGGGTTTGAAATGAGATCTCCTGATTGTTACTCAGTGTTCTGTCACCCGCCTCTCTATCTTCCCATGGAGGGCAGACAGTGGGCCCTGGGCCTGGCAGGACCACGTGTTCCATAATCCAGTCCAACAAGATCTCCTTTAAAAATAACAATAATTGCCACCAATCAGCTCAAGCCGGGCACAATGCTAAACGGTGTAAGTACAGAGCCTCGTTCAGGCCACACATTCTGAGTCAGGCACCACTATTTTTCCTACTTGACAGATGTTGACGGGATTCAGTCATTGCCCAAAGTGGGCCAAGTAAGGTCTCTGCCTGCAGGACTCTGTGACATGCAAAAGCACAGTCATGTGTGGACTAGGCACATGTATGACTAGATGAGGCAAATTCCCATGATTTGCATCCAGTCCTAACAGTTTAAATGAGAAAGCAGGGAGGAAGGGAGGATTGAAATAGATGTGAGTCCTTTGGTTGATAATGAGGTCCATACATCTTAGTGAGCTCATCAAAGCCCTGAGCTGGTTGCCTAATAAACCAGAGAACACCATCGGTTCTGAAAGGAACTGCAAGCTGGTCCCTGGCACTCACTCCCAAACTATAGCCCCACCAGGAGCCTGAGGCATCAGAAACCCAGGAAAATGCCCAAGCAAGTGGCAAGGAAGCAAGTGCAAACCAGGCCAGACCCTGTCCTGGGTGCCTGCCAGCCACTGGTACTCCTCCCGATTTGACAGACAAGGCGGCTGCAGCTCTGAGGGGTGAAAGGATTTGTCCACAGCACCACGTGGTGGATCAATGAGTGGGCTTTGGCCTCACAGGCTTGGGATCGAATCTTGACCGCAATTTGCCAACCCTTGTGACCAGGGGCAGGTGGCTTCTCTTTCTGAGCCTCTGTTTCCCCATCTGCACATAGGCTTGTGGAGGATTTGAGGCAGCGGCCCACTTAGCATGCCTAGCATATGGAAGCACTCAGGAAACAGCAGCTCTTACATGTAGCATTCAAGCCTACGTAAGGAACAGAGGTGGGATTGGAACCCATGTGGGTCAGATGCTGAAGTCCAGGCTTCCCACCAAAAAAGGTTTCGATATCAGAAGGAGCAGACCTGAGCTGCTTCCCAATCTCAAGAAGAAGCTCACGCCTGTTATCTCAGCACTTTCGGAGGCTGAGGCGGGTGGATCACAAGGTCAGGGGTTTGAGACCAGCCTGACCAACGTGGTGAAACACCGTCTCTGTTTAAAAATACAAAAATTAGCCAGGCGTGGTGGCACACACCTGTAATCCAGCTACTTGAGAGGCTGAGGCAGGAGAATCACTTGAACCAGGAGACGGAGGTTGCGGTAAACTGAGAACGGTCATTGCACTCCAGCCTGGGCGACAGAGCAAGATTCCGTCTCAAAAAAAAAAAAAAAGGAAGTGGGAGAGGTATAGATAGTTGTGATAGTTACATAATTGATTGGTGCAAAAGTAATTGCAGTTTTTGCCATTTTTTTTTTAAAGAATGGCAAAAACTGCAATTACTTTTGCACTATGAATACATATTTGTTTATGTATGTAAAACCCTTTGCACAGTCTTCTGTTATAATGTGGGACACTTTAGGCCTCAGAAGCAGACCTCAGGAAACACAATTTCTCTCTCTCTGACCTACTCCTGTCCTCCTTTCACCTGTCCAAGGCAGAGCTCTAATCTGATCATGGGTCATTCCAGAGAGGGTCCTGCCCCATACCCTGGAGGAAGGAATGCCACAGAGAGGCCAAGAAAAGTCTAGGCAGACAGGCCTTGCTGGGTTTAGATCAGGCGCTTTTTGTCCACTCACACTTCTACACAGTTGTCAGTCATGCTTACGTAAGGAAGCCTCCGTAAATACCCAAAAGGCCAGGGTTCGGAGAGCTTCCAGACAGCTGAACACGTGGAGCTTCATGGAGGATGGTGGGCCCAGGGAAGGCATGGAAGCTCCACATCCCTTCCCCATACCTCACCCTATGCATCTTTTCATCTGTATCCTAACAATATCCTTTATAATAAACCAGTTAATGTATTTCCCTGAGTTCTGTGAGCCGCTCCAGCAAATTAATCAAACCCAAAGAGGGGGTCATGGGAACCCCAACTTGCAGCTGGTCCGTCAGAAGTTCTGGAAGCCCAGACTTGCAACTGGTGTCTGGAGGAGCAGGCAGTCATGGGGACGGAACCCTCAACCCGTGGGATCTGACCCTTGTGCTGGAACTGAACTGGAGCACACCCAGCTGGTGTCTGCTAGAGAATTAACTGCTTGCTTGGTGGTGGGAGAAGCCCCCACACATTTGGTCACAGCAGTCTCCTGTGTTGATGACTGCTGCTGTCTTGGAGTGAGGGCAGAGGAAAAACGCCGTTTGAGGGAGCTTTTCCCAAACAGCAGTACGTAGCGAACAAGTGCCACGTAACAGCCACAGTGCTGGGCATCTTCACACGCAGCAAGTGACTTCACTTTCAGGAGACTCTGCTGTGTCATCTGCAGCTGCAACTCCTCTAGGTTGTGATGCGGACGATGTGAGCAGCACATGAAACACACCCAGGCCAGTCGCGGTGGCTCACGCCCGCCATCTCAGCACTTTGGGAGTCCGAGGTGGGTGGATCACGAGGTCAGGAGTTCGAGACTAGCCTGGCCAACATGGGGAAACCCCATCTCTACTAAAAACACAAAAACTAGCTGTGCGTGGTGGTGCGTGCCTGTAATCCCAGCTACTTGGGGGGCTGAGGCAGAAGAATCACTTGAACCTGGGAGGCGGAGGTTGCAGTGAGCTGAGATGATGCCACTGCACTCCAGCCTAAGTGACAGAGCTCAGCTCTGTCTCAAAAAAAAAAAAAAAAAAAAGAAAGAAAGAAAAAGAAAACACACCCAGAAGAGCCAGGCACAAAGCGGCTCCTCACTGCTGGGGGCTCCCTGTCTTCTCCTGAAATGGTGAGACGCAGGCGTGAGGAGGGCACCAAGCAGATGGGATGAAGTAACAGAAGACTCTTTCCAGAGCTGGGCAGAACCGTGGCTGAGCTCTTTGGCTCTTTGTTTGAAAAGCCCTGGTCAGCATCATGCCCTATGGCCTGTGGGAGGTGGGTTTTAACCCCATCTGTTCCGGGAGGGCCTCAGCTTCTCCTCTAGGAAAAGACCCACTGTGCCACACAGAGAGGGAACATGGCAAGTGGGGGTGGTCAGGGAGGAGTTCCTGAAGGAGGATAGCTGACTTTAGTATGAGCTGGGCCTGCCCTAAGGGTCTCGGCCAAGGCCTCCTTGAGGTAGAGGGGTTGCCAGAAAGGGAAGCCCAGGATCTAAGGCCCTGGCTGGGGTTTTCCTTCACAAGTAACAAGGCAGCTGCCCGTGATGCCTCACCCGTGGCCCTGGGGAGGGCCTGGGAGTGCCAGCTCCTTGGCTTCCTCTTGTTCATCCTGAGCCACATGACCTGCCAGGACTCCCAGACAGATTAACCTGGTCAGAATAACACCCAGACCACCTGACCTCAGTCACAGGAGCCCCCAGATAGACTGACGCCATATGATCCCAAGATGGACTGACCCAAGTTGGTGACCCCCAAATAGACTGACCTCAGCCAGCCTGGCTCCCAGCTGACTGTCCCTGTCGAGAGTGGCCCCAGCCTCATACAGATGGCCCCAGACTATCTCATTTCAGCCAGAATGACAACCAGAGTGACTGACTGACCCCAGATCTGCCCACCCCAGCCACAATGACCCCTGACCTCTACCAAATGAGCCCTACAACTGACCCCAGCCAGGGTGACCTCCAAGGAGTCACTCTGGATGGGCTGACTGACCCCATCCAGAGTGATTGCTTTTTCTAGGGGGATAGAGTCTTGTTCTGTTGCCCAGGCTGGAGTGCAGTGGCATGATCTCAGCTCACTGCAACTTCCACCTCCCAGGTTCAAGCTATTCTTGTGCCTCAGCCTCCCAAGTAGCTGGGAATATAAGTGTGCACCACCATACCCGGCTCATTTTTGTATTTTTAGTAGAGACGGGGTGTCACCATGTTGACCAGGTTGGTCTCAAACTCCTGGCCTCAGGTGCTGCGCCCACCTGGGCCTCCCAAAGTGTTGGGATTACAGGCGTGAGCCACTGCATCCGGCCTCAGAGTGATTCCTTAACTGGAATGACTCTCTCTCCCTGACCCACGTCTGCCTCTAGACCTATGTCTCTGGACCAGGCCCAGTTCAAGCCCATAGTGGGTAACATCTCTGGGACCAGGCTCCCCAAGGAGAGCCCCACCCTCACCTCTTCCCCTGGTCCCCTGAGATGGACCAGTCGGCTAGGAGCCAGGAGCCCCAAAGCCAAGGCCCAGTTCCTGCTAGACCCAACTCCTGCTGGAGGCCACTAAATCTGACTTTGAGTTCAAGGCAAGAATGGTAGCAAGAAATCCTTCTGGACTCCACTGACACAGACATGGGCACAGACACGCACGTATATGTAGCAATACCTCTACGAGGGGCTGTGAATGACCACCATGGCTACCTGTGCCGGTGAGTCCTCGTAGCAACTCAGAAGGTAGGTAGTACTATTTTTGTCTT